CAAGTTTGTGCAAAGAACTACTGACATTCTCCAAATGATAAATATAATACCTATTTAATTTTCTCATGGTTACAGAATATCTTCACTACCCCTTTATCTAGATTTGTAATCTGAAGTTTGTTTTAATCTTACTCTCTTTAGATCTGACTCTCCTACTCTATCCTTAAACCAGGAAAAGTCCTTTAATCTAAATATTTAACAGTCTACCCTGTGAAAGGTCTGGATAAAAGTCTCTGGAACTGTTGTAAATCCCTTAAATACATACCTTTTTGTTCAAATGAAGCACAGAATTGCATTCCAAACCCAAATTGAAATAGCTAGCAATTTGGATTTTTCTCCATTACTACTACACTGAATCAGTGGAAATAATAAAAAAACTGACAATAGACAGAATCAAAAGATATTAAAAAAAAAGACTCTCAAAAAAGTGTTGCTTAAAATACAGGTCTCCACAACTAGGTGCAATGCTTGCTTGTTTCAATACTGTTTCATCCCATTACAAAATACTGACACTTGTTTTTTAGAGAGGGAAACAGAACTCTTCAAATAAAATGCAATTCTCATCTCAACAAACCACCACTTTTTACAAATATATATACCTATATATGGTGTCCATATATGGCATTGTACAAATAATTCCCACATCATCTTTTCCCTAAACTTTATTGGATCAGATATGTCACAGTTGTCAACATTTGTTTAGTTCCTGATTATTATTCAGGGGTTAAGGAAGTAAATATCAAATCTTTTTTGATCTGTTTTGATATTTACTTAAAAAGTGTATCTGTTGTATGTATACGTGTGCAGTACCCCATATGTATCTTTGATTATATGCCAATGTCAGGTAGGATTGATTTAAATATCATCAGTTTAAGTAATTTTTTTGAATGTTTTTATTTATCACCATGAATATTCATATTGAGTTTAACTGAATCCATTTTTTTAATGGTGTGAAACATAGGTAATAAGAATGACAGTAATGGACCCCTTATTCTCCAATATTCCCTTTATGAAGTCAAATCCTTCTAGTGTCACAAATTATACTTGCTCGCGTTGTCAAACTTGTCTCCATAGCTCAATTGAGAGGGATTCCGATTTGGAAAGGAGAGACTTAAATGGCAAGAACCGAGACCTATGTTAGGGCAAATTACTCCATCCCTCAGGATCAGGTTAGGGCTCCATTGGATCAGCTTGAGGACTTAGGGAATTAACATCGCTCACCTCCAAACTGTTACTATATTTTGTTAGTATGAAAAAAGACATGTATATGCAATAAAATCTATTACATTTGCAGCATTTCCTGTGGAGTCAGATCTAAGTTATGTCCAAGTCCCTCCATCTCTGACCTAAACATCAAATTCCTGTCTACAGCATGGTTATTGCTCTTGGGTTCTGGCTTCCTTGTTTTAATTTGGCGCTTGTTGAATGTGAATTTAAAAATAAAAATGAAGTGGAATTTTTCAGTTTTATCAGGATGCTTGATGTTCAGCATTCTACATTCTCAAATCCTACATGAATGTTTTTCACCTCATTCAGTATAACGCACAAGGTATAAATCTTTGGGTAGCTAAAGATGATCGAAGGTTTTAGACTGGGTTTTATTTCTCCAGAATGATGTGATAGCTTTGTTTTTAAACTGAAAATAACCCATTAAATCCTCTAAAACCCAGTGAACAAAAATTTAAAACCTGACAATCAAATACATAGGTAATTTCCATTATCATGGCATTAGAACTTATTTGTGTTCAAAATATATTTATATGCTTTAATCATGCTGGCTCAACTTTTCTCCCATGATGAATATAATGCTGTCACATTTAATGGATATCACCTAAACTAGACAAATTTATGATATGCTATGGTTAAGCTTCTCTTTCCTCTGTTCTGTTTTCCCGTCTTCCTTTCTTCATGCCTCTTCCCTCCTGCCCTCCCATTCTTCCCTCTCTTTTTTTTTCTTTCAACATTTCTTTTTCAAAAAATACATGTAAACTACCTTAAGAGATTTAATAATCAAACACTAACATAAGCAAACAAAGCTAGTTTACAAACTAAGAGGCTTTTTAATATTCTGGACTGCAATTTCCTCTAGTTTCACTTTACCATTTCTGTAACTCTATTATTTAAAAATTTCTTTCCCCTTTTCCATGATCCCATTAGGAGCCCAGTTGAGCTGAATTGGCTCCCACCAAATGCATCTTCTACTTTGAAACTTAATAAGAATGACACCTTTCAGCTGTTGAGAAAGGTTTACGCCAATGACTTTAAAAAATTGTCAATTTTTTATTGAAAAATAAAATAATGGTGCTTCTTAGACAGCAGTTGTGGGAATGAGCACATCCTGAGCTGCCTTTTCCTTTAGTTCCCCATGATGACTCATGAAGAGCATTTGCGCCCATGGTCCCCCATGATCTGCTGAGTTTTCCTGTGCCACCTCTCCACGAAAGGCAGATACAACAGAAGAGGCCGTTCCCAGTTTCTATGTATAGAAGCACATAAAACATACACATACTGACATGGTATATAATTGTTCACATGGACATTTTTAACATATAGTCATCATGCCAGAACAAGACTATAAAAACATGGCTCTGAGTTTTGAAATCCAAACCACTTTTCTTGGCAAAATGGAAATAATCTATACAAATCTCTTCTGTTTCAGTAGAAACTCTTACATCTGACAAATATATCTTCCTGGTGGCTTTCATCTATTTCAGAAAAGAAGCCACAGCTTTGAATCCCATGTACACAAACACACAGGGAAAAAGACAGAAAGATTCAAGTATTTCCCATTTTTGTTTTAGTTTAGTTTTGTTTTTATTGGGCATTATACTACAGTTGCTTCTCCCTAAAAATATAGCAACTTTGTCATTTCAGACCACATGAAAAAAATGGGGCCCAAAGCATGGGTGCACTTTCTTGGCAAAATCATTGAAAGTCTGTGTGTATGGGTCTCACATACTTGACTCTTTTGGAACTTTGAAGGCAGTCGTTTGTGGCTATTTTGCAAAGTACACATACTGACTTCTTTGTCCATTAGCCATCAGTGAGGGAGGATGAAGAATAAGATGGAGGCAGAAGTGGCAAAGACAGCAGGCTACAGATGCAGGTATGGCACCAAATAGCAATCAAGCTTGAAAAAAAAAATCATGAGAGGCCCAAGAGAAGGCCCACAACTGAGCAATATATAGCAAACCTTTATAATGCATTTGACTCAGAATTATTATAAAGTTGTATAACATTCCTCGAAAAGAAGCCTTCTCCCATGCAAGGATTTATGCTCTTTGCCAATAAGACTCAAAGAAGGAAACAGGCTTCTTGATGGTGTTCTCAATCTCAAACACCTCTGCAAATGCCAACAGTGCAAGTGATAAAAGCCAGTGATGGTTTGGACTACATCTAAATGAGGAAAAGACAATGAAGATGATGCTCTGAAGGCAGCGATGGACAATGGGCACTGAGAGGATGATGGAGAGCAACTCTGCCCGTAAAATATCCTCTAGATGAAGTTGTGGAGTCTGAGATCCACAAAGATGCTTTGTGCATCCATGTAAATAAGATTGGAAAAGTAACAAATGAAAGCACACAAGGCAAGCTAAACAAAAAGCACTCAGGACCATAGGTGCTATGTACAGATGAACATGAAAGCTGAATGGTATGGGAAGCTATACCATCAAGGCTGAAGATAAGAAAGGAAGCAAGGGAGATGCAATGTTTTGATCACTTCTTGGCAGATTGAATCTTGGTAATCACCAGCTTGGCAGAAAGGACACACTGCAAGACAGACTGCACTTGGTTGTTGAAGAATGTTGAAGCAGGATCATTTTGAAAACGCAAAGAGGTGACTAGGCTTTGGAAAGAGACACAACATAGCCACTTTAGTGGGCTTTAGGGGGGACTGCATGGACCAGGCTTTCCAGATGGCATCTCCATGCAAACCAGGTCAGCTCTTTTCCCAGCTATGTGTTCTGCAAGGCAAATTATATAGGAACTGAAACCTTTTGGCTCAAGAATGATTTTTCCATAGATTTGTATCCAATGCTCAAATTAATGAATTTTTGAAAATGGCTTGGGGGGAAGGCGTGAGCTTTGTGCTCAGTCTGATTTCCACAACACAGTCACCATGTTGACAATGTTATGTTCCTCATAATGCCACACTTCAAATGACAGCAGCATCATGGTTGTCTGGGAAAAGAACTAAAGGTGGCAGAGCAACACTTGGCAATTTGCAAATAGTTTACAATAGATGGCACGTTGTGTTAAAAGAAAGGGATTGAGGGAGGAGAAGAAGCCAAGATGAAGAACCTCAACACATACATTTAGAAATCTTGCCAAGAAATCATGATCCTTCTATTCATTGAACTTCATATTTTTTTTGCATTTGAGGGAATGAACCAGATACTTATATTTTCATGAGAAGGGAAACACTGGAGTGATCGAGCAAAGACTATCATTGTTAGTGTTTAACAACTATGTTAGTTTTTGGCAACAGCACATCAACCCATGTTAAATTCAAACATTTTCTGGCTTTTAATGGTTACTGATAACCTAGTATGCATTGGAACCTGATCAATGAATTCCTATTGTTTTTATCACTTCTAACATGTGAACCCAATCCACACATAGAGAGGCTGGCTCTTGAACAAAGAATGAACATTACTAGAACTAACAAAGGGAAATAGACTCACAATGAGTAAATATACAAAAGCCCCAAATAATTATAATAGTTGCAGCTTTGCAATGAGTTTCCAGACTAGGAAATTAGTTTTCTTGTGAAGAATGGAGATTTTACAAGGCTAGTATAAACACGGGGTAATTGGAAAATCAAATTGCTCTTTGTGAGTTATTGTAAGGTCTGGAATAATGGTGATAACATTTATTTAAAAAATACCTCTCAATGAATCACTGTAGTTTGGTGTTTTTACCAGTACTGTTGCCAAGAATTCTTGCCTTGGAAGTACAACAGTGGGGACTGAAATTGTGAAGTCCAAGTTCTAGCTTACCCCTGACACAATGAGCTCTCCTCCCAGGTTCTGTACTTCTGCCTTTACCTTGCTGCAGATATTAAGCTGATGACAATACAAGGCAATTCGCTGAAGGTAGGCTAATAAATCCTGCTTACACGCTGAGTCAGGACACTGTAAAACATTTAAAAAAGCGATCTCAGTTAGTAAGTACTCTTCAGCTTCTAACACTTGCTATACAAAAGCTGTGAGAAGAAGAGGTTTCAGTGTCATATACCTTAACTACATCCACTGAACATACCTTCTTTATATATCATTTTAGAAAGGCCACAGCCAAGAGTTTAGAATAGTTTGCTCTACTTTAATAAAATGCTATTAAAAAGTATTGAAGAGCTTCCAGAAAGTCTTATTGGAAGTTGTATACATGTTTATGAGTATTTTACCAGTTGTCTTCTAAACCATTAAGAAAATTAATATTCTAAATGTTTTGGTTTTTGTTGTTGTTGTTGTTGTTTTGCCTAGTGGCTCATTCAACATTCACTATGTGCAAAGTTATTTTAACACAGACAACCAACGCAGCATATGTGAGAAGGAAATCACTGTGTGGCAATCTCTCTGCCATCAGACAGAATAGTTTCAATTCAGTTAGCTGGGGGGGAAATATCACTTGTTTATATTGGCTTTCTAAGGAATGCATCATTCCCTAAAGAAAGTCTTTAACACTTTTTGGATTTTTCATATTTATCAAAATTTTAGCAACATGAGAAACTTCCTTTAAACAAAGGGTTCTGAGAAGAATCATGGCCACTGTGAGAGAAACAGAAATGAATACAATGAACTTGATGCCAATTGAGATAAACTTGGAAGAGTAACAACACAGCCCTTCAAAGGATGTGACAGAGTCAGCTATGACCAGGGACTTGGAGTTGTCTTGGTGACTGAAGTGGATGGATGTCCATCGGATGGGTACTCACAGAGCTTAGCTGAACACTTAGCTGAACAGGCATTTACATAGAAGCCTAAAGTGTTTCTGAGGCTTCGGTGCAAATGGCTAGCCAGTTAACTGAAATCTATTTCTTTTGCTGTAAAAAGTTCAGCTGGAGATTTTCCAGGCCATTCCATTTTTCTGGCTCAAATTGGCACTTGTTAAAAAACAAAAACAAAAACATATAATCACCAGATCCTGATGAGACACTGTAAGAAATAAGTACTTACAGCCAAACCGAGGTATCTTATTTAGAATGAGTACGGGAAAAAGACTCCAGCTGTTTCTTTCAAGCTTAAGAAAAGGAATTTTTTCATTAATACAGTGAAGCCAGTGGTTTTGACACAGCCATTTACTTAATAAATGACAAAGGGGTCTCTTTTATACATAATACTTACCATTGTGAGGTTGGTTTTTTTGTTGTTTTTTTTTTCCTCCCACTAACTCCACTTATCAATTAAGACTCCCACAGACTGTTTTTAGCTTATTACAAGTACTTAATACTGTAATATTTATCAAACTCCAGAGGCCCATATACTAAAGAGAATTAACTTTAAAATGGTATCTCCCCAGAGGACTGACAAGTCTTTTGATACAAGTACCTTGCAGCAAATTAAACTGGAAGTTCTATCTCAATGGAGCAATAATTAAAAATGCAACAGACCGTAAAAAGTTTATATTGCATGTATATCTCAAATCTTCATAAAAACATTTTTAGGCAACATAAAGGCAACCAATCTGCTCCTTGGTAATGCTCATTCTATTCCATTATTTAAATGGAGGCATTTAAAACACAAATAAAGGTATGATGGATCAAGAAAAATAACTTTTGTACCATGAAAGTAGAAGCAGAATTTGAGAAAGAAAATGTCCAATTCAGACAAAACATTAGCAAAAAATTGCAAGGTAATTCTCAACTGATGACCATAAGAATACCACAAAGAGGGTGTAATGCTTACCTTCATCTATTTATTTTAAAGTCATCATTACATAGCATTTAAATACTTTGTCATAATCTCAAAGGACATTGAGAATCCTGGCATTTGTATATGTGCATATGTGGTGTGTTTTCTGGATATCAAAACTGTTTGAAGGTGATGCTTCACATTGCAAAAGTATTGGAAAAAAGGGTCCGAAATGGTAAAATCAAAATTGCAATAAAAAATATTGAACTCAAGGAGCCTAAACATGTTGAGAAATCGTTTTAGCCATTGAGGTTCAGATTATAAGAAAAAACCATTCAAACTCCATCCACATTCACTCCTGGGAAGAAGTCCTTCCTAATAAAACTCTTTTCAGAACCACCCCCCAAATCTCTGGTCAGTATACTCTTCCCCATTACTCTCAACATTTGCAGAAAAAAAAATATGGCATTCTTTCTTGGTTGGTACAGTTTTGTTTTGTTTGTTTGCATGCACATATGCATATTTTTAAGTTCACTGTCTCTCTTCTCTTTTACATAAGCTACATGTATGAACTATATGAACTCTGCAGAAAGAAGCTCAATCTAATGTTGCAAATTTCAGGAATCCTGGCAGTTGATATTGTCCTGAAATTAGCAAATTATGTTGATGGTAATGGTTTGGTTTTCAAACCCAATATATTTTGGCGAGTTCTCACATTATGGTTATATTTAATGAATTATCTTTACTATTAAGTGTTTCTCAAAAATTCAAAAGTGAGCAAAACACAATCCCTCAGATTATATATATTATATACCAGGGGTGCTAAAAAATGTATACACGTGATTTATAATCATCTTTTGTTATTGATATATATTGAGTGTTACAATTTTAACACAATTTTTTTCCTTCCTTAAAATATGTATAGTTTTTTTGGCATGCTCTGTATATATAGTTAAAAGGAGATAACTTGTTGGCTTATTTTAAATGTAATCCTAATAGTTTAATAATGTATTTTTCTTGACATATTCTAGAATCTGGAATGTTGACGACAGTCAGTGTTTACAGGAATAGCCTACTATTAAGGAATGAGGAAGGAAAACTATCAATAATTGACTCTAAAATCATAGGAGACTAGGGCCATCTATGGAGGCGAAAGCAATCCTGTATATTTCAATGTCTCCAGAGAGCATCATTGTATTATAGTCTAGCAAACAAAGTCATGCTCATAATGTCTCCATGTAAATGATAGTTTATATAATATTTCCTATTTCAGATTCTTATGTTATATTTTAAGACATTTTCCTCTTTAAATGGTTCAAGCTGTAAACCCCTGTTGCTTTAAAGGAATAGGCATCGGTTATCTGGAAAAGTCTATTGCCTAAAGTACCCTTATAAGACATGGAACATTATTGTAACAATACATATTTAGAACAGGATTTTAGAATTCCAGTTCAAGCCAAAGAAATGAAAAGTGTGGAAATCAACTCATACATTCAAGGTGAAGTTGAGAACTATTTTAGCTTGTATCTTAGTTCAGTCTAAAAACATCAAAGTTACTCTGAGAATTTCGTTTATCTCTGACGCCTTTGAGTCTGAATGAAAACAAAGCTGAAATCTAGAGGTTTCTGATTATGTGGATTAATCCCCTTTATACTACAGCATAAGTTATTATAATTATGAAGAGCACCATTACAGTGAGATCAATATTAAATAACAAGACATAAAGTTCTGCCTTTTTCTTCCCCCTTATTCAGTGTGATTGAATTTCTGAAGGAGATTAGCTGGGATAAGCCATGACTCTCGGTGTCGTTGTTGAATGCTCTTCTTTTCCAAGGAATTCTGGTCACAGGCCTTAGGAGTGCCTCCTGAACTCCTGAAACGAACTCATCTTCTCCATCAGCCCAGTCTCAGCAAGAGTTAGAAGCCAGTTTATAAAATGTTAGTGATGCTCTAGTCATTCTTCAGAGGCATTTTATATGGTGCATAAAACCCATTACAGAACCCGAGTACTAATTAATGATTCCACTCTTCCCTCTTATATTACCTGATCAGCCACAGCACGGGCTAATTTGTCCATCCGAGAACCTGCTTCGGCAATTTTCTTGGCGGCATTAATGACATCAGATGTATTTTTCAACGGGCCTTTGCCTCTGAAACAACATAAACAACATGATTAGAAATCCACTTTATGACAAGAAATAGACAAACCTACCATATTGTTTGTTCAGGACTCTGCTTTTGTAGTTGGCTCTGGACACGTAAGAAAAATGTTGATGTTTTCTCGATTCATCTCAATTTCTATGTGAATAACCCATTTTACTTCTATTCATCTTTAGGGAACATTTTTCTCTGTTTTGATGCACATGCTACATTTTATTCTTTACATTAATTTACATATTTTTAAATAGGCGTTCCATTAAAAAGGATGATCACCACAAGGGCAATGGGAATTTAGGATTAAAATGCTTACTATGCTCCTATGGTGTTGTAGGCACTACCTCATTTGTCTTCATAACAACCCTAGCAGTAAGATATCATCATTTCCATTTTAAAGAAGAGCAAAATAGACTAAAATGATGAACTCATCTAAGTTGATACAAATCATAAGTGATAAATTCTAAATTTAAATCAGAATGTAGCCAAAGTGAACACACATGCATTGTCTTTCATATCATGTCCAGCACTACTATTATGTTATCATTTCAAGTCCACTTTGGCACTTTGACAAGCAGTTGTCTCTTGTACATAATGGGGAAACCGTTAGCCTGAATTTCCGAATTCTGTTCAGCTCTTACTCTGGTAGGCTTGTATGCTCCTGGTACTGATTTATGATGAAACACAGAAAACATTGTGTGACAGTAGATGTCTTTATACTTCCAAACCATTTTCACATAAAGCATTCAATTAGGTGAACTGTTTAATATTACATGTCTTTTAAATATTTATTATAGAAGAAAACAAAACTATGCTGCATCATAAATCTTTAAATGGAATATAGTGTACGATATAGTGTAACTCTCCTTTCTCTCTTCTTGAGAGATAAATAAAATTTTAAGTTAAATATATTTATCTTTTTTTTTTCTTTTGAGCATTGCTACTTATCCTGGTCTGCTTATGTGCATCTAAAAAATCAATGCATTTTTTAATGCTACAGAATTACATTCCTATCATTAGAAATGTGATGAGATATGGATAAAAACTTATACATAAGGTTATATAGAGCAGGCAATGATTGGCATCATTACATAATAACATTTTATGAAATATATTTAAAATGTCTTCAAAAATTATTGTAAGTGAAGGCTATTTTGTTCAGTTTCCCTCTTAATTTCTCTTCTGCAATTTTTTTTTTTACATTAGTGGTTAAAAGTAAAATACTGGGGGTGCCAAAAAAAAGTACACAAGTGGACACTTTGGTCAGCATTGCCCAAGCAGTAGTTTGTCATAATCAGAAGCGTCTGGACGCTGATGGTAACCACTTTGAGCACCTCTTGTAATTGCAGAAGTCAAACTATATTCAATCTTTTGTTATCAGCATCTAGTGAGTATCACAATTTTAATACAGTTTTCCTTTCTTAAAATTTATATACATTTTTTGGCACCCTCTGTAAATTGTGTTAATGTCAAAGCTTAAACACACACATAGCAAAATTCAAAACTTAAGATATTTTATTTTGCTGTGATAACAATTACTCTTCCACAAAGAACATTGATTTTTTCCCACTGGCTATTTAGATATTTAAATACAGACAGGGATTTCACATATGAATTTTATTTAATATTGGATGAGTTAAAGATTCTGTGATAATCTGGTTTCCATTCTCTAACATTATTTTGTTTATTATCTCTAAATAGATTTTCCCTTGTTTTTGTTTTACATTTTTAAAGGAAAGTTTGGATGCAGAATCTATCAATGTTTAATAATGATCTCATTATTTATTTTTCCCTGTAGCTTTCAAGCCCTAGAAAACTGTTTTGTTTTTTTGTTTTGCAGTTTTATTCTGACACAACATTTGTTGTTACTTTTTGCCTTCCTCTTAACCCATTCACACAGAGCTGCATCCTAACTGATTTTTCATTATTAAAAATCATATGTTTGTTTACTTCAAGAATTTCTAAGGATTTGGGAAAACACCTTTCATGAACCTTACATGACAACTTTCAACAGTTGATTGATTTTGACAAAATTTACTAAGTTAGTAAAGAACATTTATAGAGAACTGAATTTGCTTGAGGCTCAGACTCCCTATCTTGTACCAAAGAGTGATTAGAAGCATGTCTTTTGTGATTACACTGGAGAATACAGTTCATAGACTCACTAGCAGATTGTTTTTAAGAAACTTGAGCGTTCACATTGCAGACTCACTTCAAATGATGGGAATCACAAACTGGTAATAAAGATGTATTTCATGAAACTAGAGAGCAAAATAAAAGTTTTGAGGACATCCAATATTTCCTCATTTTCTTTTTGAGGAAACTGAGGCTCAAGGAGGAAGGCTAAGGCCCATTCCCAAGATGATACTGCAGTGAAAATTACTCAGAAAATCAGGGCTGGACCCTCTGTGTCCTGACTCACAACTTAGTACTCTTTTGTTGTATATCTCATTCTTATGAGAAGAGCTGAAGTGGTGATCTCAGAGAAAAACAAACAGCTTTAACTACAGACATTAATATGAAAGAAATAATATAAGCCATAATTATCTCACTCAAAATTTAAAAAGAAAAAATCGGTAGAAACTAATGAAATTATAAAGATTAATGATTAGAAAATAATCACTGGAAATAAATAAATCTAAAACTAGCTAAAAATAAAACGAGAGCAAAGCTGATGTAAAAAAATATTCTTAGACTGCTATTAGGAAAACTAGGAGAAAACACATTCAAATGTAAAAAAGGGAATAGTGAAATAGCTTTAGAAAACAGAATTAAAAGTATCATAAAACTACTTTTCTTGAAAACATGTACATAAATTTCAGACCTGGAAGAAATAGCTTTCTAGAAAAATAGAATTTACCAACATGGACCAGAACGGAGATACTGAAAATCTAGAGTCTGGATTCCATGGAAGAAATGAATAAGGCTGTCAGAGAGAACGCTGGCTAAAAAATTAGTAAATGCAGATGGTTTATTAGAGGACTTCACTAAGTCTTTAAAAAAGAAGATAATCCCAATGCTATTTAAACTCATCCAGAGTATGGGAAAGGAAGAAAGACTTCAAAAACAGTTCATTAAGTAACATGATATGTCAGAAGCAGCTAATATAAGCTTTATTTCAGGATTTTTATTTAGGTAGTAAAACTTTTTTTTTTTAAACAGAAGAAAAAGCAAAGAAGTAAAGAATGGCATTTGAGTGTTGGAATGAATTTGTACATGCTCATAAGCGTGATTGTTAAATTTTCAGGAATTTGGTGAGTCAGTTGACATACTGGTAGCTTGAAATCTGCCAGGATGGAAGTGCTTACTCCATGGAAATCACAAGTGCTACTTGAGTGAGAACTTTTCTATTCCCTAGAAAATCAGCAAACCACTGCCAAATGTCAAGGGAGTAGTTACACCCAGTAGAAAGGAAGGGTACTGTGATCTGGAAGAGGTTTATGTGTGTGTGTGGGGGGTCTCTGAAGCTGGGTGATGATTATACAGATTATTTTATAATACTATTTCAGTTATACATTTATTTTTATGCACTTTTCTATAGGTATATTTTATAATTTAAATATTCATTCACTTATTTTTCTGTCAATCTGATGGATACGAAAAAACTAAATTTTCATTTCCATGATGACAGAGGAGTCTCTTTTTATCATTTATTGATAATTGTTATGAATCATTCATACATACTTTTCTCTGAGTTGTTTATTCAAGTCTTTTGCACATTTTTTATTGATTTTTTTTACCTAAATTGCCTGTTTCTGCTCTTTAGATATTAATACTTTAGATTCTGATCTTTTGTTAGTTATTCATGTTGCAAACTACTTCTTCCAGTCTTAGCCTGTATGCCTACTTTTATTACAGTTTTTAAATATAAATTTTAATTTTATTTTGGTCAAATGTATCAATCATTTCTATAAAGTTTGTGCTTTTCACATATTCTTTAAGGAGTTCTTTGCTGAAGGTATTAGCTAAGGCTGTAAATTATATCTCAATAAAGTTAGAAAACAAGGAAAAATTAATCTTTGACCCAAGATAATAAAAATATTCTCATAATTTATTCTTAAATTTAAGGTTTCCTTTTCATATTTAAATATTAAATCCACTTGCAGTTTATTTTTTGTATATAAGGTGAGATAGGAATCACATTCTTACTTTATTTTTCCATAAAAGTAACCAATTATCCCTGAAGCATTTATTGAAAAGTGAATTCTTTCTTCCAGAATATTCTTTATAAATTTTGCACCTTTTAGTTATAAATTCTTAATGAGTACATGTATTACTTTAAAATGTAAATATAAACCCACATATATATGGCCAATTGATTTACAACAAAGCAGTCAAGAATATCCAATGGGGAAAAGACAGTATCTTCAATAAATGGTGAAAACTGAACAGCTGCATGCAATAGATTGAAACCACTATCTTATATCATACATAAAATCAACTCAAAACAGATCAAAGACTTAAACATAAGACCTGAAATCATAACCCTCCTAAAAGAAAACATAGGCAGCAAGCTCCTTGGCGATTCTTTTTTGATTTGACACCAAATGCAAAGGCAACAAAAGCAAAAATAAACCAGTGGGACTACAACAAACTAAAAAGCTTCTGCACAGCAAAGGAAACCATCAGCATAATGAAAAGGCAACCTATGGAATGGGAGAAATATTTGCAAATCATGTATCTGATCAGGGGTTAATATCCAAAATATATAAAGAACTGCTAGCAAAAAAGCAGATAACTAATTTTAAAATGGGAAAAGGATTTTAGTAGGCATATTTCCAAAGAAGACATATAGGTGGTCAAGAGGTACTTGGAAAGATGCTCAATATCGCTAATCATCAGGGAAATGAATATCAAAACCACA